GCCAGCTACCCGCCATCCGTTATCAGTGTCACATCCTGTAATTGAGAGGCTGACCATGAGTCTCCAGGGCACCCCCTACCCCCTGTGCTATGAGGATTGTCTCGTCCCTTTAGTTACCCCTGCAGAATCGATGAATGATGGACTGGATTGGTATAGTATCAGCACCGAATGGTGTTGTGACTCTGGTCTATTTGTCAAGTGAAAAGATGAAAATTTCTACGCAGGCCACATAACCTTTTTCATACCCTCCCCTTCCCCCTCTTTCCCACTATTATTTTCTATTATTATGCCTGTTTAACTGCATAAATATTGATAAATTGTTATTCTGTACCCCAGTCAAGTTTGATGCAAAATTCTTCAAAGTTTTATCTCGTTTTCAGCTGGTGATGAACAGTGTTGACGCATCGGCCTTGCGGGGATGGCGGGTGGCGTTAGCAGGGGGACAGCAGGTGAATAGAAATATAGCCTTTATTGAAAACGCATTTACGGCTCAAAATTGAGTAGTTTGGTCACGTCCTTCACACTACCATCATTCTTCTATTGGATTACAGCTGGTGATGAACAGTGTGGGGGCATCAGGTTTGGCAGCCCTAGCTGGTGGAGGGGGCACAGCTGACCCCCTCAATGTGGATGGTGGGGGTGGGGGGGGACCTGGAGATTCTGTAACTACACATCTGGCCGGCACAAGCGACGATGACGACGATGATATGGCGTCGTCACCTGGGAGCTTTGATGATGATGAAGGCTCACTTCCCGGTGTGGACGATGTGACCGCCCAGCTAGCGGCGGCAGGTGGGTGGTCAGGTGAGATGTCAAATGTGTTTTTTTGTTGGTGGTGGAGGGAGCCAATACACAGGCATGATTACTGCATGAGGAAAGTTTGTACATTTCTTGATACTGGCTGAGGAATTCAGTAAAGGAAAGTGGTGGTGAATCTGTGAACTATCCAGTATAAATTTATATCTATTGTTTGTACTCTAAGTGAAATATGACTCTTGTTTGCTTATATGGTGTGGTAACATACACATGTGCATGATAATTATATATATATATATATATTTCTATAAAAAATTATCACCACCTCTATAAAAGGTTGTGTGGTGTTTCTGATGTAGTTTGATTTAAATTCTATAATAAAACTTACATTGCTAATGTCTTGTAGTAATACACCACATGATTGTATTTAACAGCCATTAGAGAGACTTGATATTACATACTTCCGTGTGCAGGATCATGCAGGCATTGGTTAGGGTAAGGGCAATTGATGACTAAAAGTTAGCATTGCATGGTATCATTTCTTCACATCTGTTCTGCAGATGCCAAAGCACTTTTTCTCCTATTTTTTGGTATGTAGCCGTTACATTTTGCTCTTTCTGATCCAGATATCTCTAGGGATGGAATGCAAATGATATCCCAAGATATACTTTCTTCTTGATTGATTACTAATTATTTAAACCTGATTTTTTTGATTGCATGCTGACCTAATTATTTTGTTGTTACTGATTTTTTGTTTATGTTTTTACTTTACTCCGGAGGGAAGGAGACTTTTAAGTTCGTTTTATTTGTGTTCTTTATTTGAATTGTGTTCTTTATTTGAATAGTCATTTTTTAGTTTTGATTTTGTATTTTTTTTTTTTTTCTTTCTTTTGTTGGCATGAATTTACTCCACTGGAGCCACTTATTATATGATTTGATCTCTTTTATTAAGACTGTATGATCATAGCCTTTGTTTTGTTTATATCTTATATTAGTAAACGCTAGCGTTTAAATCATCATTCACTCAAGCAGTTAGAAGTCTGTCCTGAGGTTGCCCAGTCCCGTTCCCTCCACCGCGGAATGGGCAAGGCCTTTATTTTCCTCTCTCTCGCACGGTGCAGGACCTGTCGGGGTGGCTGCTGCTGCTGCCATTGCCTCAGCAAAAAAGCGGAAACGACATCACATATTTGAAATTAATCCATCTATACGAAAAAGACAACAAACTCGGCTTTTAAGAAAATTGAAGGTGAGTTCTTATAAGCTGCAGGTGGCCTTTGGGAATATTTTTCTATGCTCTCTCTCCCTCTCACCCTTCACTTCAGTGCTTACCCTCTCCCCCTCTCTGATGCTCTCTCCCCCCTCTGTGGGGCTCTCCCTCCCACTTTGGTACTCCTTCTGCCCTTCCCCGTAGAGCTCTCATCTGTCAGTTGGATGAAAGAGATTGAAAACGAATTAGGGTTTGAAAAACAGATGCTTGTTGAATTTACACTTACAACGATCCAAAATTGTTCGGGTGTCTCAGAAAATAAAAACCACATCATCAGAGCTTATGATGTCAAGATGCGTAAAAAATTAGATTGATACTGAATTGAGAAGCCAGGTCTTTTGGGATGAGTTCAGATTCTGTTAGGAAAGAAGAAATTTTTCTTTAAAGTGAAAAGCAGGTAACTGATGTAGCTCCTTTGATGTCACCATATACATGAGTTTTGTTTGAAACATTTTGATATTACAAAAGATCCAAGATTGGTTCTGTATTAGTGGCAGAAGATATCCTGCAGATTAGTTTTGTGTTTGCAGAGTTAGGAATCAACCACTGAATAGATATTAAAGTAAAGGTTGGAAGTGATCAGTGGAGACAAATGAAGTGATGGAAATGGGGCAAATGGAAGTATGGTGTGTCTATCTGTCAGTCTATCTAGATCTCAGAATATTTGTCCGTATATATGTATTTGAATATAAGCATAAGTGTAAACGTACACACAAGTTTTAAATTAAACTAGTTTGTATGTGCTTGCTGAACTTGAAATTGGAATACAGTGTTATTATACATTTTATCCATAAAGTAGAAACAACAAACTAGAAAACATAAAGTTTTTAAAACTGCTACAGTAGCCTCTATAGCCTCTTGTCTTGTTGGCTTCATTCTAGCAAGAATATATCATTCCAGTATAATCTACCTCAGTACACTAATGATTGATGGTTTCTGTACACTTGAATTTACTTTAAGTGGTTTTTAATCTCTTGCACAAGTGTCTGAGTGAAAGAAACTAAATGTGATATTAGTTCAAGCTTCAAGGGCATGTTTAGTAATACATGTTTTTTCACATAATTTGTTCTACAAAATAATTTTCATTGAAATCACTACTTTTGGAAGTCATGGTTTTAGATATCACATGTATTTATTGGATATTTGTAATTGAATCTTGGAAAATTGGTGTGGGTGTGGGTATTGGGGTGTGATTGAGTGCATGAGTGTATAGTTGATGTACATGTTGGTATGTGTTGACTTTTAAATGTTTGCTTTTGCGTATGAAAGAAAGCCTGTGTATTAGTGGTGGAGTAAAGCACTTGTATTGATATGAATCATTGAGGATTGCTGTTTTCCTATTTCTTTCCAGAATAGAGCCAGTGAACACAATACACACAAGCTTATTATAGCAGGTGCTCAGAAATATGGTGCCTAAATTACAGAGGGTTAGAAACTAATCTTTTAGCTCACCTAGAAAAGAGATGAACTAAACAACTTGCCTTTTAAGGATCTAAGAGGATTGCCGAGCTAGATCTACTGACAGGACCATTACACACAGAAATGTATTTGTTTCTTCTCAGGCTAATACCTCTTGAAGACTGTGAAAACTTTACTTTTATTGAACTTTTAACCCAACAGGCAACCATAGATGAATATTCTACCAGAGTCGGACAGCAAGCGGTGGTAGTTGTAGCAACGCCAAGTAAATCAGGAAATAATTTCAAATGTTTTGGAGCGAAACCTCTGGAAGATGTGGTAAGTCTCTTTCTAAAAGCAATACTTGTTCATTAGTTTATTATAACAAGTTTTAAAACATATAATGTGCATATTGTGCATTTGCCTGAAATTTTTGTTTACTAATTTAGGATTTCCAAGATATCTAAGGTCTGCATTGTGGAGGAAATTCTAACAACTTCATGAGAAGAACAAATGAATTATAAAGAAACAAAAAATAGTGTATTTCACCATAGGGGAATAATGAGTTTCCTTCCTTGTTTCATGCTGACGCACAGCACTGATTTACGTATTTTGCACACCAAAATATTTTTTGAAATTTGTTTCCCACTTATACAAGATACCAAATTTAAGTGTTAGACAGTCTGTTTTTTGCTTCTGAACCTCATGTTTGGCAGAACCAGCTGACATGCATTGTAATGGTACTTTATTCCTGAAATGAAGATGCTCTATTTGAGTGTATTTGCATTCATGTGCTGTGAAACATTATTCTGATATTTGCATGCAAGATAGTATAATTTCTATATTGGAAATGGCAATTATATCATAACACAACAGAGTAGTTCAGAATAACCAAGAAAAGAAGACAGTATTGCTCACTACGGCCGTTTCAATTTCCCCCACAGATGAAAACGTTGCGGCAGATGGTTATGTCCGAACTGGAAAATGCGTTAGCACAGCAAGCACCCCCACCCCCACAGGACGACCCGTCGTTGCATGAATTACCTCCCCTTGTCATAGACGGCATTCCGACTCCTGTAGAAAAGATGACGCAAGCACAACTCAGAGCTTTTATTCCTTTAATGCTGAAGTATTCTACAGGTAAGAGGTTTCATGATTCCTCTTTAGTGAGGCTAAGTCTAGCTTCTTAAGGATTTAGGTGTTTATAGAAAAGCTAGTAAAAGGACTTTTTATGTATAGATATAGTATGAAGGAGAAGGAGTATCTTTCACAGTGCAAGAGATGTCTTTAACATGTTGGATTATATTGTCATCAGAAGCACATGAATGGTAACTATTTCTCAATAAAACAAAGATCCAGCAATTCAAAATGTTCTGTAGGCAGACCAGTGATATTGAAAAAGTATTCTCAATCAGGTGATTGTGAATTTTTGTTTTCTGGTCATAGTGTATGTGTGGGTATAGGTGGAGGTTTATTTATGGGTGTGGCTGTAGATGTATAGTCTATTCAGTCTTGATGTTTAGGAAGCCCTGTCATTTTCTTAGTGCTATAGACAGAAAATGTGTTTTGTTTTGCATGACTTCATTTGATGTTTGACCTACAAGCTGATAACCTCTCAATCACACAATCACAGATCAACTGACCAGTGACAGGAGACTGTGTGTTGTTATTGCTAGCCTTTTTTTCCACAGAAATAGAAAATCCAGCTTTGGCTTATACTTTCTGAACACATACCTGTTTTATTGTAATCTGAGAGTGATGAGAGAAGTAATTATGAGTTGATGAACAATAAACTAGAGAAGAAAATAGACTTGAATGCTTCAGCAAATAGCAGTAACAAGAAGGATTATTACATTACAATATAATTTTAGGGAGAGGTAAACCAGGCTGGGGCAAGGAATCTACTCGGCCGCCCTGGTGGCCAAAAGATGTTCCGTGGGCGAATGTTAGAATGGATGCGCGATCAGAGGACCAAAAACAAAAGGTAAGATTATGCTTTATTTGTATATTGCATTGTTTTTGATGATTAATTTGGGGTTATGAATAATGTTCAAAGGAATTTAGAGATGTATATGTTTATTGTTGTAATTGGTTTTCACATCTATTTTTGGGTATTACATCACAACATTAGCTATCAAAATTTCATAATAGTACAGCATGATTTTAAGAGTTGGAATGTAAAGAAAAGCAAAAAGATGTGAGAGCAGTATCATTAGATCTTTTTAGCTTTAAGCATTTTTTATCGATGATTCCCACATTTTGTAGGGATGGCATATAAATTAAAATAGCTTTGAGAGGTAGAGAAATATTAGATCATGTATTGCTATATGAAGGAACTATTGGATTTGTAATATTAACCACTTCATGCTCGGTCGCATGTACGTACAGGGCATGGCAGTTGTGGACAAAGTAATGGGTGGCATCAAACATGACCCTTCATGCACCATCGGCTCATCAAGCGGAGCTGGTATTGTTTGATAGTAGTGGTAAAACGAAGATAGGCCTTCAAAAATTTGATATTTTTATAAATTGTATCAAAATACAGCTTCTAGATGCCTAACATTGCCTACAAACTACTGAACAAGCAGGGTGCAAACAAAGGAAACTGTCGATGCACGCCAATAAACTTGCGATCATGTCCAGGCCAAGTTTTTTGGTTATAGTGTGATGAATGGGAAGTGTATGAATAAGTAAATGATTGATAATGAAAAGATTAGAAACAAGCTGGGGATCCTGGAAGCTTAAGTCTTCATAATCCTATCTCCAGGTATCTTGGACGACTGCTTTACGTCAGATTGTAGTCAACTGTTATAAATACCATGGGCGAGATGATCTCTTGCCGGCATTTAATGAAGAGGAAGAAAAGACTCAGGTATGATGAACAATTTTGCTCTTTACATTGTCAGTTATGTCAGGATCAAAATGTTTTCTTTGCTTTGCCTTACAATGGTCATTTTTACAGAAGTTGCTGTTGTTTAACTCCTTGTTCTTGTTCAAACATTAGAGGAAATAGTCATTCCATTTATTAATAGTGTGCATTTAACTCATGATTGCTTACTACTTTTTAGTTAAATACAAGCAATTAGCCATACAGGTTTCAAAATGTATAGAGACTATTTTTGGGTTTCCATGTATGTAATAACTGTGCAAAAAAAAATTAGTGACTGGACAGATGAATAATATAGTATTGACACTTGCCTGTCTTTTCAAATGCGTAGTGATTTGTTCATAAAATATTTGTCTTGGTGCAGGTTGGTGGTCCAGTGAACCCAGTGTATTCAGGTCCAGTGGTACAGACCATTAGCAATCCAGATGGTACAGTTTCAATCATCCAGGTGGATCCTAGTAACCCTGTCATCCAGCTGCCAGATGGAACCACTGCGCATGTACAAGGCGTTGCCCACGTAAGTGTGTTTCTTTGTCTCTTAGTGGATTTTATAACACTACGGATACATATCTGAAGATTGTGTGATAGTTGCAGCTTTGCAAATTTGATATTTAAGGGGTGTGTGCTGCAGAATATTAGTTTATCAAAACTGGTATATTTCCCTGTGAAATATTTTTTCATTTGTGAAAGTATCCCCCCATAATATAATATTCACTATCTTGTATTTTTTATATTTTTAAGGTTAATGAGATTTGTACTTGTTTTAGATAATTATGCTACTTTTTAAAGTATGTATTAAAAGTACAGAAATAATTCAGATATGTATCTGAAGATACTTATTTGTTATATATCATTAAACATGTTTACATTGAAAGTCTGTGGTCTGATGTACTTATTGAAGTAATGTTTTTATTAAGATTACCAGAATATTGACTCTCACAAGCTTCAAGAAGCCTCACTTCTGATAATATGATGATATTAGTATATTAAAGTAATTACGAAATATAATACTCAGTATTTATGATTATTTTTTAAAGTGTTTCTCTAAATTATATTACTGTTGTCACTATCCAGTTCCATTGATTGTTATGCAGTTATGTTTTTGCCTTACACCTAACAAGCACCATTCCCTATCCTGCAAAGAGAATGTGATTGTATGGACTAAACTAAATATGTGAAAAATGTTATTCAGCTTTAGACTTAAAAAAAAAGTCTTTAAAATGCACATGATGAATGCTTTTGATGAAATTACGGAGAAGCTATATCAGTATTCAAAAAGTAAACACTTCTTTGTAAATGATATTGTGATATTGGTTTTTATCCATTTCGTGTCCAGTGCTGGTGTCATTTGTCCAATTACTTACTGATATGAAAGTTATGAATTTTCCATCATGTGACTGGAGACAGTAGCATGGTCCATATTGTGATTATGTATTTAAGATATTGCAGTGCATTACCTAAAAGCAACAGGGCACAGATTTTATAATTTACAAATGAAAAGTGTTTATTTAAGAAGACTATTGTAGTTGCTTATCAAGGGACTCATCACTAAGATTATTAATTGCCTGTAGATTTTATCTCTACTTGAAACAGCCCTTCTTGAGAATTAGATTTTGGTGAGACCTAATTTTTCAAATTTGCAGTAGCCATATTGTTGCTTTATCAGATTTTTTAAGATAAAAAGAGCAAACCATGTCCAGAACGGATATGAGTTGGAAATCTGAAGTCTAAGTGATGATTCCCTTCTTGTAGTGCATGTTAGAGAGAACTAATGTCGTGCATGGTTGGTATTGTGTGCATGGTGTACTAACCCAGGGTTGGAGTTTTGGATTAACCTTTGGTGTCTTAAATTTTTTTCCTACACAAGTCCTGTAGTAAAGGAAAGAGATAAATTATGCTGAAAATTATTGTTTCAAGTTTGAATAGTCTTAATTATTTTTTCTGCTTATTGTTAATTATTGTATATATTATCTACAAGCTGCATGTAATCTTACATGAAATTATTTAACACAGCACAAAACATAACTTTTTGTAGTCCAGCCTAACCTGTCATTGCTGGATTTATGATATGTAAATGTGCCGCATTATTCTTTAAGAGTTTCTTTTTCTTTAACCCATTGGTGCTCAGTACATGCAGTGTCCACGGTTTTCAATTTTGTCTATACAAAGATGGCCTCACAGTTGCATAATCATCAAGGAGTCAGTTACAGGGCCTAACTGATGTCTCTTGTTTACCTCATTTCATGAATTTTTAGGAGTTTTGATGCAACTATTATTGTGAATATTATTATTTTATGTTATTATCGCAATGTTATTAACAAAACTAATAACAATAAAGATAAAACTGAACATTTTGGGAATAAGGAAGGGAGATCAGATAGGCTTTATAAATGATTGTTTGGTGACTAAGCACTCGTGGAGGCATGTAAATATAAAGAAAAATTGATAAAGTAAAATCGCAGTGGACAGGGTATGTATACAGATCCTCTAAGCATCAGTGAATTAAATGTTCAATCTTTCTCTCTAGTGTGTAGATTACAAACCCCACTATCTGATTTAAAAGAGGTACTAGCGTTAATGAGACAGATAACAAATATAACATGTCTTGAGCGTCTGCATGTTGTGTGTGTTTGCATATGCTATACACCTTGTGCAAATAATTGAGCCCCTTGCCACCAGTGTCTTCCATATGACATGAATCTTTTTTCACTAAATGAAAAGGAATCATTTAAGTTTACATTTAATTACAATGGCTCACTTGTTCAATACTGCATTTACATTGTCTTGTGGTCTGTTACACATAATTTGAAGTTTTTTGATCTGACATTCTGAATACAAGTTCCTTTTAGGATAAATGTATGGTAAATGATGTGAATGTCATGAAGATGTGCAACGTATAATTTTTTACAAGACGACAATGTCAGGTGTGCAAAATTCTTAGCAAATTGTCTTGTACCTAAAATTTGTGAATTAATTTTACTGGGGTAGCTAAGGTATTAAGGGCAGTATATCATATGAGGGATGAAGAAACAGCTCAACTAGCAGATGACTTTGTAGAACACGAGTCTGTGTTTAGCTTCTTTTTGACCCCTTCTTAAAGTTCCTTGTCATCTCAGACTTTCTTTGGCTTGTCCAGTCAGCTACGGGGAGCGGGTGCATTATCAGAGATACTGCTAGCTGTAAGCCCCTGGATCCGGATGACGTTGCGATCATGTCAAGGAAAAACTTAGACAGCTATACGGATGACGTGAATAAAGCGTCAAGAGCGAAGGCCAGGGTAACTGAAATGACTTGCCACGAGTGCACAAACTTCTTGGAGTGTGATTTGACTCATTTGGCGCTTAGAGGGGGGCTTTAGCATTATTCCCATCAATAAACGAATGTGGAATGTAACGTGCGTAAGCAGTGACTGGAGGAGCGCTGGCTCCAGGAAAGATGCCATTTCCATGCTGCAGGCTGTATTATGTAAAATTGAAAATTACAAAAAAAAAAAAAAAAAAAAGAAAGAAAAAAAAGATATATGTCACACATATCCAAATGTTCCATATATATATATATATATATATATAATATATATATTATATATATTATATATATAATATATATATATATATATATATATTATATATATTTTTTTTTTTTTTTTTTTTTTTTTTTTTTTTTTTTTCTTGCACTGAGCTATTTACTACATAGATAGATGAGATGATATGGAATCTGTGCAAGGAAAATAAGTAATTACCATCTGGATAAAGCAAATCAAAAGGCAAATATGGACATTGAAAAATGGCGATAAAGCTTAAAAAGTTTTCACAAAATAACTTTTCAAAGGGGAGACACAGTCTAATCACCGCTCATGGGTGTTCGGGCGCACCCGGCCTATGCTCTACATGCCTGGGATGCTGGCCACTTGCGTAACCATTGCAACCGGATCCAGGGCATTAATGCTTTATGGATGTCACTTGTTCCTTTCTTTATTTTCTTCTCTTTGTGTTTCTCAGCCATGTTTCCTAAGCTGTAATAGTTAAGAAAAAAAAAAGAAAGAGATTTGGAGCTGGAGATGGCCTTTGAGTGTGGTGAGGTAGAGCAGTTAAGTGTTCCTCAGTAAGAATAAGGTGAAGTGTGTGCTGCCAGATGCATGTTCTTCACCCAACTTTGCTTGCAGCACACTTGTAGTTTCACTTTTCACAGAATTCTGTGCCTGGTGTGGTATTGCTAATTTTTTGTACAGTTTATATATTTTTTTGCTTAGCATGCAATATCAGTGATGTGGCAGCATGTTTAAAGTAGGTTGTATTTGCTTATTTATGTAACAGTAAGTCTTCTCTGAATGTCAGTAGATTCACCATTGTTCTCATTAAGCTCTATTCAGGGAGAAGTTATAGGGAAAAGAAGTAGGATTTTTTTTTGTGTGGTTTTATAAAAGGTCATAAATTGAAATGTGTAATTTATCACAAGTTTAATGACAACTTCGGACTGAAGTTAACTTTAGCTTTGTTTCTGCATTTTTAATGTGTATTGCATTTTCGGGGATGATACAATACTAAAAAACACGTTAAAAGCATTAAGAGATGACTTACTGTCTGTAGTCTTAAAATGTGAAATGCTAACCCGCGTAGATTGCATGAATGCTCCTCCTGGGTGCTGGTGACTAACCTATCAGCTATAAAAAAGGATGAGGTTGTTGACCCTACAGATCACAACACAGAATGGAGAGTCGGTGGACGGAGAGAGTGGGAGTTCGGTGGCCATCGACCTCAACCATGTATCTGAGGGCTCCTTAGGGCAAGAGGGAACCATCATAATAACAGGAGAGGACGGTTCACAGAGTAAGTTTGTGCTCTCAGTTATGTCAGTATGCCTAAAATGTTTGGGAGATTTTCTAATTTACCACAAAATGTGATTCATGTGATAATTAATGTTTGTTCTTATTCTTCCTCCAGTACCTGTGAATGTTTCGGGAGCATATCCTGTGTCAGGAATGATAACGGTACCCCTACCAGTATACCAGACTGTTGTAGCGAACATTCAAGGTGCAGATGGTCAGCCGCTACAAGTGGTTACACCAATCGTACAGGTGCCCAAACTTGAACCTGGATTAGACAATAATGTTGAAGTTCCTGCAGCTCTCAATGCGTCACTGGATGCATCGACTATTATATCTTCTGGACAAGGTCATGTACAGGTAGGACAGACTTTGTTCTTTGTACTGAAATGGCTGAGATTTTGTGATGATAGGGTTTGTGATTTGGTGCTGATATAATTTACTATTTTACTGATCTTCATCTGTCCATGGTTTTCAGGATGATGACGACGATGGAAGTGTAGACATGGTCGAGACCAAAGATTGATGAGGCATAAGATCACCCGATTGTGATGGGATGAAGTAACATAGACCAATGTTACTGGCTTCAGCTGTAAGCTTAGCTTCTTCCCATACACACTTATGTCTTTCTGCCCATCTCAGCTTCTCACCAAAGACTAGGGAGTGGATTCTAGTATGTTTTCAGGAATTGCAGAATATGAGGACTTGATATATCCTCTGCTACATTGGCCAGTATCACCACAACATTTAAACGTCTGCTGACTGATTGTTCCAAATTTACCACATCTACTATTACAGAATCTGCCCCTAGGCACAGGATGAAACCATACCAGACAGTGTCAGTCAGGTTAGAGGCCCACCGCTTGTGGTTTGTTTTTACAAGAAAATCTATTTTTGTATGAAGATAAAAAAAAAAAACAGTGGCATTGGATAGAGTAAAGCAAACTGTGAGATGTGCAGGGGTCGGGTTTTAAACAAGTTCTGTTTCGGTATGGGGTTTTATTCTGTCGACTCCTAGATAGTGTGTTGTCTCAAGGGATGAGTTTGGACTCTTGCTTCCCTTTTTGGATTACAGTTCAGAAATTAGGAAACGATGTAGCTTATCCTCTTATTAAGCTGTCAAAGATATGTTTACCCTTTTCTATGATTTCTGTTGTTAGTAAAGTTTATGTTGACAGAGACTTTAAGGAGTGTGACAACTTTACTATTGAGACATTCAGCCAACTAGGATGAAAGAGGCATATTATCTTTTTTTTTTATTATGATTATTTTTATTATTATTGCTGATATTAATATTAATTATGTAATCATTATTCTCATTAATCACCATTATTATCATCAATTATTTTCACCATTTTCATTATTGTCATTTGAATTGTAGTAATATTTATTATTGTTATATTATTATTTAATACTAATGATAATTTTTATTGATAATGATAATTATTAATTGTTCTTAGTAATGATTAATATTGCACGAATACTTATTATTGCAGTGTGAATTTGTAATTTTTTATACTTATGATATTTTATCATCACTACCAGCTGGATTGATATTGATACTTTTATTGATTGTTATTATTTTTTGATTATGCATAATTTGTTTGTTCTGTTGTCTTTTAAGTTAAGGTATTACACCCTGTGTATCAGTGCAATTAGGTCCTGAGTGTACCCTGTAATTTTAAAGTATTTATTTCTCCATTTCACCTCCCTCTCCCTCCTCGCCCCTCCTCCCCAGTGAGGCTAATGTAGTTTGCTTTGTATTTGTCAAGTGTAATAGGAGTTGCTCAATGTTGTATAGCTTAGCAGCAGTGTATTAAAGTGGGAATGACTTTCCTCAGTGTGTGCTACAGGGAAAAATTACTGCCTGGTGAGAGTCACGAATTTTGGACCACTTTATGCAGAAGGTTTAAGAGCGGTTGATGAATGTGCTGGGAAAGTATGTAGTTACTATTATTACTTTTTTTCATTATTAATCATATACTTTGTTCATTTCTTTCTGAATACAGCTTGTTAAATATTTTCCCCAACAGGCAGATATCTTGGTAGAAATTACAATTTTAGAGGAAATGCTCATTGATTTTTAGATTTATTATTCAGTATCAGGGGGGAGAAAAAACAAAGAATTTTGGATGAGATGAGGCCTCTTTCTCTAAATTTGGTACTGACAATAAGAGTCACTTTTGTTTTGGTGACTTTAAACCCAAGAAGAACCCTAGGATGTGACATCATTTGTATTGAAGTTGCGAATGGAAAAGCATTAAGATTAAGCCCAGATTTACCCTGCTGCCTCTACTTAAAGACTGAAACTTGTCATATGTATGATGCCCTCATGAGTAAAAAATTGAGGTATCAGAGAACACATGTTAAGAGTTAATTGGTAGGTGTAATATTAGGGATAATTAAAGTTTCTGATGAGAATCATTTATGCAATTATGGAACCAAATAATCATTCAAGTTGAAAATATAGAATGATGTTAACATATTAGGCTGTCTCAAAGGCACAGTTTTCTAAATTATTTTCAGCCTTGCAGATTTGAATAAAGGGAATATTTGGATTGCTGAGACAGTGAAATCAAGTTTGCTGAAAAGTTTACATTTTAGTAGAGCTACTCTTGAAGTAAAGAATTTAAGCTTTGGTTTGGGACAGAATGTTACTGTGATGTCATCAGATCTTGAACAAGCAATCATGGCTGTGATATACTAGTTTAGCACAGTACCAATTTTAGCCTCAAGGCCACCTTTGTCTTGCAGGAAAATAACACGACTTTTGCATAAGGGCATTTTAAGTTTCAACTGTCAAGAACACTTTTTATTATTTTCTGAAATAATACACAGCAACTCAGAGATGTTTTAAGTTAAAAGATATTTATGCTCTTTGAAATGTGTTTGATAAAGATAAGAATTTTTTTCTTTCTTAAGGTAACCACATTTCGTATGGTTATTCAGAGGTGATCTACCAGTACATTTGTATTATGATTCCATTTGCTTAGTTCCTGCTAATTTGTAAGCTCACAGTATTATATCTATAGAGCATTTTATCTACCTTGTATTTTTGTAATGATACTTTTTATTTATTTATGATTAGCATTATTTAAGTTCTATATATTTTTAGTACCATTTTTTTTTGTTATTTATATATTTTCATGTAGAAGGTAATGCACACAGTAAAATATTATGAACATTTACAGCAGAGGAACCATGTTAAGTTGTATACGAATTGTGTAGAATTTGTTGAAGGTGAAAGATCTAGTGAGTAGCACTAGCAGTTGATAGACAAGGCTTGGTTGGAAGGACTTTTTTTGTATTTGTAATAGCTTCAGAAATGTTGGAAAATTATGTATGGAAAATCGTACTTCATACTCTTTGTGATATTTTGAGGATATGCAGAAAAGAGGTTGGATGGATGATAAGAGGATACAAATTCTGTGACCAGAAAATATGGCCATTGACTTTGGTTATTTTGGGAAATTGAACCTGCCTTAGCCGTGCAGGTTTTCTTTGAAGGTCTACAAGAGATTATCAGAGTGCTGTAATTTTAGCTGTCCTTTTTTAGAATGTGATTTTATGTAACGTTTTAAGTTGTGATTCTGAGCATGAAGATTGCTTTTGTGTTTAAAGAGCCTGATTGTATACAGGCTATTGCATGATACCGTACTGAACAAAAGGCAAAAAAAATTCCAAACTGGTTAGCCGTGTCCTTAAGGGGATAGTGAACAATCAACATTCTGTCAAGTTGAATGGAAGGGGAGGGGTGAAGGTGTGAATACTATGGACTTCCGAGCATGTATGTGATGATTTCAAACTAGTCGACTGTGGCACACCCAGGATAATAATAATCTCTATAGACTGGTGAAGGCTGAGACTGAATAAGCGCATTTGATGGACTTCACGAGGGTTGGTGTTGTTCCATCAAGTAAATTACTTCGGTCGTCTTTCATAGGCCTACTGATCTCTCTCCCTCTCTCAGCCATGGAATTCGGCAAACTGATTTATCTAGCAGCCACACATCATTTTCATGGGTAATCTTATCATGAGATGATAGATATCTTCCTTATCATTATCGAGAAAGTTAAAACAGAAGAGAATGAGTAAACTTTATTTAGTTACTGGTCTGCTAGGAATGGACAGTTCCTGCCGTGCTCTATGACACAAACTGTAGATATAGTGACAATGTTATGGTACAAAGGAAAGACAGCTGGGGTATTACCCTCTTGTCGTCTAATCTGTGTTTATCTCTATTTATTATTTCTTATTAATTTTATTTTCTGAAGTATGTATGTATAATCTAATACTTACAAAAATTCAAGGCCAGCAACACATGAAATTTATGATTATGATTTAAAGCAGTTGAAATTATATCTTTGGCAATGCATTAGTTCTTGTTCCGTAATTTACCTTTTAATGTGTATTTTTTATTTTGTCTTTGTTTACTTATACAAACAAATTATAAAGATAACAAGAAAAATTATAGAATTAGCCTAGAATGTAAACATGAATGTGTCAAGTAAAAAAAAAAGATTTAATTGAGAAGCATACATTTACTTTTGAAAAGATTTGCAAATTCAATTTATTGGTAACAGTAACAAGAATATTGATTTTGATCTTTTAACATAATACAACGCAATCATGTATATTCTTTTATGAGTGTAATAGACACAGGCAAGAGTTTCCCTTTTTTTTTACATCTCCAAAGTCCAACTGTTTTTTTGTATTAAAGTACTTTACTATTTTTACAAACAACATGAACAAGTTTTGATTTTGAAATTTCTTTCTCACACCAATTCCTTGCTCAGGAATGCGCGCCTGGCCGACTTTTGAAACCTGAGTTTAAGTACTGTGATTTTTTTGTCATCATTGCGATTCTCTTGACGTTAATATTTTGTTGAGCAAAATACGTGTAAAGATACGGATTTCTCCTTGATCGTCCTGCCATTTTTTAGTAGCTGATTTCTCTTCTCACGATTGTTTCGTTTTTCTCACTTCATTTTCCTTGGTTTATATCCTTCCCCAATTCCTCTGATGTTATATGTACAAAGAAATGGGGTGTCCCATCTGTTTGGTTGAATGTTGAAAAAGAAAAAAAAGATGTATTTGCTGTTCACTCTTGACGTGAAACAGTTGCCATTACATAATTCTGTTATTATTTTTTCTAATTATATAAAAATGGGTATTGTAGTACAATATAAGGTTGAAAGTTGCATTACTTGTCACAATGGTGGAGTAGTACCTTAGGCTTGATTTTTTAATCTAAACTTCTTTCCAAACACAATATGCAGGGTTGAAATCGAAATACCCTTCCTTCCAAGTGAATTTGCCGAAGAGGCAGTCCTGTTGATACCTATGCAGTAGCCTCCTAGCATAACACCTCACACACATACCACATCACACCACACTGCACCACACTCGCACTCACACTCTGTCACACAACACACTCTGTCACACACTCTCACACACACACTGTCAACACACACTCTCTCACACACACACACTCTCACACACACACTCTCTCACACACACACTCTCTCACACACACACACTCTCACACACACTCTCTCACACACACACTCTCTCACACACACACTCTCTCACACAACACTCTCTCACTCACTCACTCACTCACTCACTCACTCACTCATCACTCACTCACTCACTCACTCACTCACTCACACACACACACACACACACACACACACACACACACACACACACACACACACACACACACACACATACACATACACACACACACATACACACACACACATACACACATACACACATACACACATACACACATACACACATACACACATACACACATACACATACACACACACACACACACACACACACACACACCACACACACACACACACACACACACACACACACACACACACACACACACACACACACACACACAGATGTAGTGAGCATCATTTTCTTCTTTTTCCCCACATGTTTTTATGTTTGTTTATAAAACACATATTTATAATTCATTTATTACTCTCATCATTCTTGCATTACTTTCTTTTACCTTCTGTCTTTTTCCTTTTCTCCTCTCCTCTAATCTTTTTCTCTTCTGTCTTGTCTCACCTCTTGATTCTTGTCTCTCGTTTCTTGTCTCTTGTCTCTCTCCTTTCTTTCTCGTCTCTCTCCTCTATTCTCTCCTGTCTCCTTTTAAAATTTTCATTATTTATTTGATTGATTTTGCCATGTTTCTCACGCTCGCTCACTCTCACATGCTCACACGTTTGAGCTTACCAGTACACTATTAAAGACTTAAGAAACAGACACCTTACCTCCCCACTGCCCTTGAAGTCAAGCGTTTTTAGGAACGAAAAGTGTTTCATTGAAGTCTAGGAAG